AAGGGGTGTGGCTATGTGGAGAAACTCAGAGGGCCGCACGTGGCCCCCAGGCCTGGGCTTCGACACCCCTGAGCTCGGGTCCCCAGATGGTGGTGCCCCCAGCTTCCCAGAAGGAGCGTTAGAGTAAAGGGGCCAGTAAAGGGGAGCCAGCTTCTGGCAACTTCTCCCGCTTCCTGCCAGAAGGAAGAAGAGGAAAGAGGAAAACCGTTCCGACTGCCAGATGTCCTGGAGCGGAAAGGAGGCACACCTGACTCTGGCCAAGGGCCAATGAGAAGCTTGTAAATTCAGTTCCTAAATGCAGCACAATAATCTCACATTTGTGTGCATTCATGGGTGTTTCTTCTAATCTTAAATGGGCTTCTTGAACCGGCTTTTCCTCGCATGCACATGTTCACCCATGACTTAATCCTAACATCCTGCTCTTTCTGTACACTGTCCCCACTTTAATATATATTTTCTGAGTTTAAAACTGCCTTGTAAAATTCTGAGTGGCACAGACGTTGGTGAGCAATTCCAAATGGTGGGTAGACTGAGGCAGCACGACTTGCGAAAGTGCATATAAAAATTCATACCAGACAAAAGTCTCATCCATCCACGACGACGACTTCTGCTTAAGAGACTTCCGGCAGACTGTAAGAGCAAAGGATCAAAGCAGATATATTAGCAACCATATTGAGAGATGCCCCGATAATGAAACATCAGCACAAAACTGCTTCACCGCCCTAGATTTCCCCCTGAAGTGGGCAGGCTGAATCCGCTCCTACGCAGCTTCTGCACTTGCAAATGTCACCCATCTCTGACAAATGGTTATAACCATTTAAAAGGTCCCCGGGATAGTTACTGTGAAGATTGGATGCATGCATCTCAGCCTCTCAACTGGAGTGTGGTTCTCCGTTGGAAGCACACAGCCTCCAAATCTGTTGCCCTCAGCTTATGGCCGTCCTGCAAATGAGTGCCATTCAAAATGTCCTTGATAGCTCAGGAATTTTAGTCTTAAGATTAAAGGCTTCCTTTATGGCATTGATCCATCGTGAATTTGCTCTTCCTCTTCTTCGCCTGCCTTTGATTGTCTTCCCCAGCGAATCTCACCCAACTTCTGACAGCTTCGGTTTCATCATTCAGCGAACTAGACTGAATGTTTGGTTTTCCAGAACTAAACTGTTTTCCAGAACACTAAGCTGGGCTCCAGGTTGAATTCTCTCGTGGGTGCCCTCCTCTAGATTTTACATCTCCTTCTTTTAACACTCATGACCCTGTTTTCCAAGAACCTGCAGTGAGGAGGGGGATGGTGGAGTGGTCCAGATAATTTCCCATGGATATTATCAAGCCGTCTTGCAGTCACAACGGGAAACAGTCCAGTTCTGCTCACTCATCAGAGCATCCCGGAGCCTTGTCATGTTTGTCATAGAACAGTTGATTGCGGCATGATTTACTGCTAATTCTGTAAGCCAAACAGACCTTTTAAAGTGCTAATTAACAGCCCCAAATGAAAGAAACTCATTAGCAGTTGTTGTAGCTACCTCATTAACAAGCCCAAATAATTTTGAGCTAATTAGAATTCTAAGCCAAGCAGAATTCTGCTGGCCAATCCAAAGCAGACAGAATGAGGGGAAAGTATGGGGTATTCTAAGTGTCGTATCTTGGCATAGCGAACCATTAACGGGAGAGATGTCTTAACTTTGCTGGTTTTTCTTTGCTTCATTAGTCAGAACACCATATTGATATGATCAGTGTTGAATGAAGCGAGTCCTGGGTTGTACTACAAGCTGACCTGTCCTCTGTGTTTTGATCAAGGCTGGTGACCTCGTTTCAATAAATAAAACTCATAAAGAAACAAACATGCACATGCGTGGTACCAGGAAATGGCAGAGAACCGTGCAACTATGCCTGTCATCAGGATCGGAGGAGGAGGATAGTGGGATTTAATTCTCCCAGAAACAGTCATTTCTCACAAGCTTTGGGTTCTGAGCAGTTTTGGGTGGGAGAGGGGATTGCAAGTGAAGCATCTGGTACAACGGCATTGGCTTTATTTAAGCTGAGCCTAAGTGTGAGGGGAAAGGGAGAGAAGCATGCCATAGAGGTCTCATGCTCCTGACTGCATCCTGGAAGAAACATCTGGACAGCACTGTTGATGTTTTCCCCCTTTGGCCTCCTGACAGGACCAAGCCTAGAGCAGGCGCTCAATGAATCAGTGACTCGTTGCATGAGAACGTTAGAAGAACTTGGTGGATGAGATCAAAGGTCCTCCTGGTCCAGTATCTGTTTCCCACACTGGCCTACCAGCTGCCAGGTTACCCAGGAGACATCAGGACAAGCAGCCATGGATAAATAGCCTTCCCCTCCATGAATTTGTCCCCTCCCCTTTTAAGGACATCCAAGCTGACCCTCTGGCCAAGGAGAGGATGAAAAGAAGGCTCAGGGGCTTCCATAGCAGACAAGAGAACGAAGATGCCCTACAATCCAGAAAATGCCATAGAGTGGATTAGCAAAATCCATATAGCCCTGTTCCCAAGATCCCTTCCAGCTGTATATTGCTCTGGACCGATAAACAAATATGTATATTGCTCTGGACCGATAAACAAAGATGTTCAAAATACAAATAAGTCGCCACTCCTAACATCCAAGAAGAGGAATGGAAAGGCTACAAGAAGACCAGATAAAAGTCCTGTTGAAATACCCTGGCATCTAAAGGACATGGAACAGATCTCATGAGGTGATGAGTCCCGCAAGATGGGCACCACCACTGAGAAGGCCCTGCCCTGGGTGCTTTCTAACTGTCTTGAGAAAAATCCTTAAATGGGGGCACCAAAGAGCAGTATTTCTACCTATCCCGAGTTCAGATCTTTTTTGCATGCCAAGAAAGTGGCCTTTCTAGAGAGAGAGAAGTTTGTGACTCGTGCAAAACAAACCCCAACCAAAGCATGGTAATGCTGCTTCTGCTTTCAGCTGCTCTTTGAAGCTTGGGTTTCTAAACATGTGGCTTGTGCTTTACAATCTTTATGCGTGGATTTTGCTTGCTTCCTTTTTTTCTTTGAGCCCGATTTGAACTTGGCTGGCCAGAGACGGAGCGAAGCTTCCTGAAGACTTTCAAGTCACTCTGTGTTATTAGGCTGCTTGAAAAGGGGGACAGGAAGGACAGAGAGATGTGGTGGCATGAAATCCAGGCAGGGGGATGAGCGCCACCTGGAATGGCTGCTCGCTCTCCCTTATCTCGGAGGAACAGACCGAGCACCGCCGGCTCAAGCTGGGACGCGCTTGTCTGTTCAGAGGGTTTACTAGTGTAATCCGGCGGCTTTTATTTCCTTGTTCAATATCCTATCAGTATTTGGCAGCTGGGAACGGCGGCACAACAGCGATGCCCATCTTCCTGGCCCTTCCCAAATCACCGCGTTTGAATGGGGAAGAGCGCAGCGAGCGAATGGGGGATCGCGTGTCTCCATTAAACCGGCCCCGGCTGAGATTAAATGCTTTTCGATACAATCCAATTAACTCTCAAATTGAATAGCATTGGGGAGGATAATTTGCCAGCGCCGTCCTCAGCCCATATTTCTCCTGGCCTCCTCCCTCTTCCTCGTCTAAGGATGATGTCTTCTTCAGTGCAGTGTAAGTTAAGGCAAATCGCTCGTGAGTTCACCTCCAGTTTAATCAGATAAAGGGCAATTAATTGCCGGTGATCCCTGGGTGTGGGGAAGCGGGTGACATGGTGGTTCTGAAGGGATGCCTGTTCAGAAAAGAAAGGGGGCTGATTCAGCATTCATACCCCCCCACCCCCAGGGATCTGACTCGGCAGGAGGTCAAGCGCGCTTCCTCAAGGTTGTGCTTCTTCCTCGTGTGTTGGGAAGGCACCTCGACATCCGTCTCTGCCCGAAAGAACCAGTGTTGGGTTTGGAGGGCCATGTGGATGGAGCTCCCAGTCTCTGCGTTCAGAGGATTCACACGGTTAACGTAAGGAAGAGACTTTTGGAAAGCCCCTTGTGGGCTTCGGGCTTCTCCATCCAAGGCATCCAGCCTGCACCCGCCGTCTCTGACTCACAGGAGTTTTCACGGCATCCTCTTTCTCCAGTGCCTCTCCAGTGCTTTCCGTGAGCTTCTTTTTAAGAGCAAGGAAAACCTAGCATTGATTTTAAAACCAGGGCAAACTGGAGCTAAAGCCTTATGCTACACCTACTGCGACACCTACTGCGCCCGGCAGCCTACGCCGGAGGAGGGCCGCCTCCTCGCTGTGTAAGACCGCGCCGCGCCGGAGGGGAGCCGCTGCCTGGCCGCGTAAGACCGCGCCGCCATCCACCGCCCACTTGGCTGCTCCGCC